ACCTGAGTTTATTTATCATTAGGAAGCAATACACTAACGATACAGCCAAAAAATCCACTGTCGCTGAAATAGTGGAAAAAAATACTTATTTCCTGGCCTATTGAATAATTAGCGAGATTTTTGCTTAACATTTGCATGATGTCTAAAATAACTGTTTTTATACCGAAGAACTGTTCTGTACATACGAACAGTATTGAGGTCGAGTTTCCATAAAGTTGTTGTTCAGCTTACTGTGGACCCTCAGTTATAATAGGTTCCATTCTAAGTACTTGTTGAATTGACAATTTTTAAGCTGTGACCTCTGTTATCCATTTTGGTTTGTAAAATAGGTGGTACTTGTGTCGCTCACAGTAAGATTGTGAACAGCGGTGGTTGCCCTGGACCCGAGTTCAGCGGGTTCAACCGGATTGCCCAATATTTTGGACCGTTAGCATACAGTTCCTAGAAATCTCTTTGTCATCGGACAAAAACATCATTGAATGACTTTCTGTTTTTAATATTGAATAACTTGCGAGATTTTTGCTTAACATTTGCATGAGGCCCAAATAACTGTTTCAAGGGTATTTAACCTTTACATGCCGAGGAACTGTTCTGTACCTATAAATTTGTATTTTTTACGCCAGGTTAGGTTAGGTTAGGTTTCTTGTGAGTGCATCAATAACGATCCTCCACTGCGACTCTTTGGTCTATTGTGGCTCACACCTATTTATATTTCCCCCAGTAGCTCCAACCTCCTGAGGAAGTCGATTAACTTGTTTGGAGAAATATCCTCCAGGTCTTCTGCTTGGAGTACTACGTCTCCTAGTATGTTGTACTTAATTCTGGCAAATGCCTGACCGTTTCATCTCCCTCCATGCACAGTCTGCACTCAGCATCTTCCGCCATGCCCAGCCTGCTCATGTGGTGACACATTTTGCAATGAATAGTGTACAATCCTACTAGAGCTTTCTTTGTCACGATTGGTATAGTTGCCTTAACATGGGTTAACACTGCTAATCCCTTTCTGTCCATCTCTGCAGAGATTATTTGTTTAGCCGTATTGTATGCAATCCCAATCGCTGGCTCAGGCCCTATGAAGGGTGTGCTATCCCCACTCCTTGCCAGAGCGTCAGCTGTCTCGTTTCCCTCTAGACCTGTGTGTCCTGGTATCCATATGAGGCGGACTTCATTTCCCTCCCCTATGCCACTAAGAGCTTTGCAATTCCACACTAATTTCGATGCAGAGTAGGTGGAGTCAAGTGATTTAAGTGCGGCTTGACAATCTGAAAAAATAATTATAGTTCTGCGTCTCAGTTGTCGTTCTGCGATCATTCTGGCACACAGTTCTATAGCATATAGCTCTGCCTGGAAGATTTTTTAATCTTAACTTCGGCACGAAGATACCAGCTCCAACGCCTATCTCGGACTTGGAGCCATCTGTGTATGCACAGATATCTTTCCTTATCAGGTTAACTTGCTGTTCCCACTCATTCCTGTGTGGAATTGTTACTGAGTAGGGTTTAGCATATTTTGTTATCTTTGGCATTATATCAGAAGGCATTCCCAGACTGGGGTGGTTTAGTAAGTTCACCAGCATGTCCATCTTCTCCATAGTGATATTGTTCATTATACCATTTGCCACATAATGTAGTCTATAAGATGTCCTTCTTGCCTCGCCTTCCAGGTATATGTGCACGGGGGGTAAATTAAGAAGGACCTCCATGGCTGCAGTTGGCGAAAGGCATCAGTGATCAACATGTAAGCTTCTGTCTGTATTCCGCTCAGTTTGGCTTGGACAGTTCTTTGTCCCACCAAGCTACAGATCCATAGGTTATCCTAGGTCTAATGACCATGGTATAAAGTCAAAACATTTGCTTAGGCTTGATTCCCCAGTTATTTCCACAGACCCGTCGTCAGTTCCATAGCGAGATCCTTGCCTTCTTAAGGACTGCTTCCAGATGCGAATTCCAGTTTAGTGTTTTATCTAAGATTATTCCTAGATATTTCGCCTCTTTTGCAAACGCTACAATTTCAACTTGGATTGTTGGAGGTTCAATCCCATCCAGTTTTCTCTTTCTGGTGAAAGGTACGATGACCATTTTTTGCGGGTTGATTGACGTTCCTTCCCCTTCGCACCAACCCGCTCCCGAGATATGTTCCCCAGATTTCCCTCTGACTAGGACGACTAGAACGTCTGCATATGCTTGAACCTTGCCCTCCCATAGGCGGATAATGGCAATCAGATTATCTACCAGGATTGACCACAAAAGGGGAGATAACACCCCTCCCTGTGGACACCCCCTGGCAGCTCTAAATCTGAGTGTCTCCCCTGTAAGGATGTCGTTATGATTCTGCATGTCAACATGCTTCTGATCCAGCCACAGATCAAAGGATTCACACCCCATAGAGAGATTCTGGTAAGGCATTGTTGAATGCTCCCTTTATGTCCAAAAACGCCACTATGGAAATTTCCATGTTTTTTTTACGCCAACAAGGATATGCTTCGTGGAAGGCTGAGTCACTGCCCTTCAGCTTATTGTGGACCCTCAGTTATAGGCAGTAGATAGAGTTCTTGTCGAATTGGCGATCTTTTAAGCTGTGACCAGTTCAGGTATTTTCAGGAAAACAAAACTGAAATGGCTCAGGGTAGTATTCTTGGCCTCTTATTATTCTTCATATTTCTAAATGACCTGGAATCCAATACAAGCACAGAGAATTAATGAGTTGATAACCCTGCAATATTCAGCTTCGGGCAGTCAGGGTTTCAATCGGGATACAATACAAAATTTCTTGGTGTACATCTAGATGAATTCTTGGATTGGAACACATCTCTGAGGTATGTTTGTTATGGAGTCCGGATAGTTGCGAGGTATATGAACAAAAACGTGTGAAAAGTATATATTATGCAAACTTTGAATCATGTGATATACAAAAACGGATGCTTATAATAGTTAAGAATATGGGGTATAACATAGTCGTGAAGGTACTTTTAGATGCCTCTTGACAGTATATGGACTATACATATATGAATGTGTGATTTTCTTTTTTAAGAAGAAAGGTATGTATAAGTGTATCATATCTGCAATACAAGAAATTTAAATGTGAATTAACTGAAAACAGAAAATATTACGCATGCCTGGAATTTATCAACTGTCTGTCAAATACAATAAAATTGATTAACAATGCTTCATTTTTAAACCGGTCAGAAGACACTTAGTTAATAAAGAGTCATATGGTGTAACAGACTATGTCAGAGCTTGAACACCTGTTGTTTTTTTCATAACGCTATTTCTCTTTATATCTCAGGTACATTTTTTGTAACTATACTGTTATGATAATTAGAAATATGGGCTGTGTTTATTTTCTTTTTATTTTATTTATTTTTGGTTTGTCAAATAGGTGGTCCTTCTGTCACTCACAGTAAGATTGTGGACAGCGGTGGTTGCCCAACCGGTTCAACCAGATTTCCCAATATTTCGAACCATTATCAGATAGTTCCTAAAAATCTCTTTGTCATCAAACACATACGTCACTGAATGACTTATTATTTTCAATATTAAATTTCTTGCGAGATGTTTTATTAACATTTTCATGAAGCGTGTTTCCAGGATACTTAACCCCTCCTCATTTCGGTAAGTCGTGAGGTTTATTTTGAGCCCGCAGTTACAAGCGTTAGGCATCTTAAGGATATTTCCATTGCAAGTTCTTGTTAAAAATACTTTTTCTCTTCTTCTTGATATATCTATTATTGAAAGCAACGCAGTTTTTGCATGTTTTTATCCTTAGTGCTTTAAAAACAGGAGGCTCTCATACATTCAGCCCTGTTTCCTGGGAGAATAATCTGAACTACCAGTACCAATGAAAAATCGCTTCGTAGTTCTTTTTAACTCAATCTTAGTGCTTCTGCTGTATTGAAGTCTGAATGCCCCTTTAGCATTCTTCTGAATTGAATGTTTCTTGCTACTGATGTTCACTTGACATCCAGGGCCGTATCGTCAATCGTTCCTACAATCGTAGGAGGCCTTGATTTTCATTGTTATTCCTGTCCTTCAGAAAGGCTCTGCTTTTGGGTTTATGTTGCAAATATCTATTTGCATCAAATTGTTCATGCTTTTGATTTGTATCATCTGTTATATCAGCCTGAAATTTCCTGCAATTTAAAAAAAATATAGCCTCACTCTTTAGTAAACTTAAATTCAAAGTTTCACAACAATACGTGCATTGTTCTCACTACAGTGAATTTTTAAGTGTCACCAAGTCATTAGAAAAATGGAACTCAACCGAGCACATTTTCGCTCCATAATTTATTACAACTTTCAGAGACAATTATCGCAACAAGAATGCCTTGCTGAGTTACTGTCGGTTTTAGGCAACGAAGCGCCACATCAGTCGACAATTTCCCGTTGGTATGGAGAATTCCAACGTGGACGGGTGAGTCTTAGCGTCGACCCCAGGGTGGGTGCACCAAAAACGACAGTCACCCAGGAAAACGTCGATGCTGTGAGCAAACTCTTCATTGAAGATAGACATGTGACATATCGCGAGATTGAGGCATCCTTGAAGATCTCAAAGACCTCAATTCAAAAAATTTTACATCAAGAATTAGGAGTAAGAAAATTAGTTTCTCGTTGGATACCCCACCTGTTGACTGAAGAGCAGAAAGCAGCCAGGGTTAATTGGTGTCAAAAAACGCTTGACCGTTTTAATTGCGGAAACTCAAAAAATGTGTACAGCATTGTTAGTGGTGATAAATCGTGGATTTACTGTTACGGATCAGAAAATAAACGACAGTCGGCTGTTTGGATGTTCCAAGGTGAAGAAAAGCCAACAAAAGTCATCCGTTCTCGAAGTGTTTCGAAAAAGATGGTCACGACATTTGTGTCAAAAGCGGGTCATATTGCAACAATTCCTCTTAATAAGCAAAGAACTGTTACTGCGGATTGGTATACCACCATTTGTTTGCCAAAAGTCATCACCGAGCTTCGAAAAATCAACCCCGAAAGAAGAATCATCCTCCACCAAGACACTGCAACCTCGCACACAGCCCAAAAAACAAGGCAGTATTTAACGGAATAAAACGTAGAATTATTGGACCATCCTCCATATAGTCCCGATCTAAGTCCTAACGATTTCTTTACTTTCCCGAAAATTAAAAACAGACTGCGTGGTCAAAGGTTCCAGTCACAAGAAGAAGCAGTTGACGCATTCAAAAATGCCGTTTTGGATTTGCCAGCAAACGAATGCAATAAGTGCTTCGAAAATTGGTTCGAGCGCATACAGATGTGTAGTAATCTTCGTGGAGAATACTTCGAAAAACAATAAAGTCATTTAAAACTACCTACCGTGTTCTTTTATTTCCATATGCAAAACTCAAAAGACATCCCTCGTAAAACTGAACAAACGAACTTTTCCAAATAAAAGAGCTATTAACAAGTACAACATGAATCCGTAGTCTAGAAAAAACCAAAACAAAATACGGCTCTGTCTACCTGGCGTTGACGGATCCGTCAGAATTATGTGTAATGTGCCGATGTGTTGAATTTTGAAGTATTACTAGATAACCAGCTGTTATTCTACCGTGGTGGATACTCGTGAAGTAGGGTATAACATATCGCATATACAGGTATACACGTATGTAGCGCGTACTATTCAAAAGATGAGGTTATATTTCACAACAAACGGTGCAAAGTTCAAGCCCTGATAGATACATACGCCTATTACACAATCAACATCGATTATCTACGACCGAACGGTAAATTTTACTTTGTGGATAGGCTTTTTGGGCATTAAATCTCACTTTCCAACCCCCGGACTCCACGGGCAGACATTGCATCATATTCGTTGTTAGGGCGTGCCACAAGTCCCGCTAACGCGACGGTTCAACTTTTCTTCAGGTTTTTAATTTTCAAACTTAACATCACTGCGTTAGCTTTTTGAGGTTATTCCAGGATGTGAAATGGAAAAGTTTCAATGATTCAGTAACTTTTTTAAAACCGTTTGTCGTGTTTGGCAGAACATGGCCGCCGTGAATTTTAATAATTTTTCAAAAAGAACCTCATAAATCCAGTTTTTGATCGTTATACTGCGTGGTCACATCTACATTTTCTAAAATCAAATTTTAACACCAATCTCCTGATGATGTCAGCATAGACTGTCAGAAGCTTGACTTGTGAGCTAAAAAAGTACACTTTGCATAATTTGTCGAGTTCTTCAAACCAGAGTTCGTCCACTTATATAGTATATGCGATATGTACATTGGTTATTTATGCCACTGATATCTGCAATGACCGTTACAACGATCACAACGTTGTTAGATGGGTGGGGACCGAGGACTAACTCTGTGAACCTCTTTAACTAACTTGATCCATCTTTTTGTTATTCGTATTCGTTAATAGTTGAATATTTGCTAATAGGAGCTAATTTATGCTGAACAGCGTTACGTGGGAATTGCTGAGTCAACCATCTTGATGCAATGATTACAATGTTCATTCTTTGTCCCGTTTTCGAGATCCTCAATCTTTTCCTAAAATTGCAAATTTTTTGTAGGGAGTGAAATGCCCATGTTGCTTTGGCTCTGACAGCCTTCAACTTGTTTCAATTTCTCCAACGTGAAAATGTGTTGGTCGCGACAGCGGTGGTTGCCCCGTACTTGGGTTCAGTGGGTTCAACCTTGATCAATATTTGGGAACGTTAGCAAGCAATTCCTAGAAATCACTGTCATCGGTCAAATACTTCAGTGAGTGACTTGTGGTTTTCACTGTTAAATAACATACGACATTTTATTATTAATGCTTTCATCACTTAAGTAACTGTTTCAAAAATAGAGTATGAGTCAAAAATCCTCGTAGTGTTTTTAGCATTAGATGGTACTGCTGGATACTGACACTTGGCATTCTTGAGGCCGTATCGTCAGTCGTCCCTACAATTGTAGGACGAATTTATGGCCTCCTTGATTTTCATAGTACAGTGCAACCCGCTTATGATGGACTCGGCGGGACTGTGACAAATAGTCTATTATAGGCGGATGACCATCTTAAAAGAAACACTTTTTTTAAATGAAAAAAGCAGCAGAAATAACATATTAAAAGCTTAAAGTATGTTTGTTTAACATGTATTACATAAATAAAGATACATATAAAAAAGTTATACGTAATTTTGAAATTTGCATTATTTCATAATCTGATACACATTACAAAAATTGAAGGTTGATGTTATTAATAATAATAATAATGTTTATTGGTCCAATTACAAAGTTTTCGTATAAATAATAACGGCAATGTCCAATAAACATAACATACCCAAAAAAGTGTACACTTGTGCTTGGGTTTTAACCGAAGTTGAGTTATTTTTTTTTGATACAACAAATTTTCTTTAAGTATACTAGTCAAATGTATAAATTTGCATCATTTTATGATCAAATATCATATAGGTTTTTAGTGTCAACAAACTTATGCATTTGTAGCCTTGGTTGATTTAGGATCCATGATTTTAATTCAGTTTTTTTACATTTTATATGTTTAAGGTTTGCAGGGATAACATTATAAAATTTTGAGCATAGTAAATAAAATGATCTTTTTCTGGTAGTTTTATTAAGTCTAGGAATTAGTGCAGAGATTTCCTCGAATCGCGTTTGATGGTTGTGGCTGATAGAAAGTAACAATTTTGGATTTTTTGTTAAATATATTATTGTATGATAAAAGTAAATTTGTCGGCAGTCGGAAAGCTGAGATTCATTGTAAAGATTTTCTGAGGGATAACATTTCTTTTTGTTCAACATAACTTTCAAAATCCACTTCTGCGTAATTTAAATCTTCCTATAATAATTATTCATGACTCCCCCATGCTAAGATTCCGTAAGATAGTAATGATTGAAGAAGGACATGATATATCATGTGTAGATATTTTTCGCTTAAAAAACTGCTGAAATATTTGACTTCCGGAATAAGGTATCATAATTTTCTTACTAAATGTTCAATATGTTTATTCCACCTTAGATGGTTATCTATGAATTCCCCTAGGTATTTGAAATTATCAACCGATTGTATGTTTCTACAGCCATTCAACGTTTTAATTTGAAGTTGATTAAAATTTGGGGAAAATCTGTTGTCGCAAGAAAATGTAATAAAGTATGTTTTGTCGAAATTGACTGTTTAAATCCTTTACGTGAAAAAATTTGTAACCTTTTGAAAATCTAATACAATTTTGTTTTTCAAAGAAGTCCAATCTTTGTCTGAGTAAATAATTGCCGTATCGTCTGCGAAACCAATAATTTCTCCATCGTTTTTTAACTTAAAGAGGTCATTAATATATAAATTAAACAGCATTGGTCCTAATACGGTTCCTTGTGGAACTCCGTAACTAACAATCATATTTTCACTCAGTGAACTGTTAAGTGAAATATTTGGATGAGCGGGGCAGTTATCGACCAAGAGCAAAATTTTAAGATTTTTCAGTGTCCCACTTTTTTAAATATTCTTCAAAAATTGATGAAATCATCCCAAAATTTATTATTTTCAACATAATCGACGGGGATTGTTTTAACATTTTTGAAACACCTGGGATTCTTAAATGTCCCTGGAATAAAAAAACGTCATAAATTCTTTACAGCACTGCCATTGAATATCAAAAAAATTAGAACATGAATGTCTATTCATTCACTTACCTATTCAATAGTTTCCGTCTTTCAGTACCAGAAGCATTAGCACAAATCATAACAGTTATTATTCGCTGGATATTAAGCGCCAAACTTGAGAAATCCAGTCATTGGTAACGTTCTTGTCAACTGAAGCTGACTCACCACACATTTTTACAAAAATAAGGTTATGTCTTTTCTTAAACCTGTCTAGCCAACCGGAACTGCATTTGAAGTAATCTCCAATCAATTTACCAAATTCTTCAGCTTTTATTTGTAGCATAGGAATTATTAGCACGCTTTTTTGAAACCATTTAAACAGCATATTATCGACTTGGGGATGCAACGATAGCCGCATCTTTTCTTTTGACTATTTGATTTCCAGTCATTTTTAATTTTGTCACGGTTTTTCCAAATATTTGACACAGTGGATTTTTTTATAGCCATAAGAGCACATATATTTGCTCGAGATGAACCCTGCTCAAGCTCACTAATTATTGTGAACTTTTCATGTAAAGTGAATGTATACTTTACCTGAAGTCACTTGAAATAGCATAAAAACCTTTGGTCGGTGCGTCCTTTGTAATTTCATGACGTATCATAGGCGTGCGGTCATTTATTTAGAACGATAATAATAATGTTTTTATATCACAATAAATGGATTTTACTATCTTCTTATTTTTTTGATTTGGGATAAAAAATACTTATATTGGGAGTTTAATTTATGTTGACTGAAAGTTAAGAAATGGAAAAATTACAGAATTCCAACGTTTGACATAGGCAAATATTTACATAGCAGGTAGGTATATAAAAAGGTATATAAAGACTTACATTATAGGTATTTATATATCATCCTCGCCTTCGGAGCTGTCGCTAGAGTCATCTTGTAGAGGAATTACAACGGGATTTACAGGAGGCAAAACACAATATTCATTTTCTTTTTCAATAATATGCCTAGAACACTGCTTCCATAGGTCTGTGGCAGCAATATGAGATACTGCATCTCTTATTGTGGCCAATAGCTATTCACTTAATTGAGGGGTCTGATTGTTTTCTTACTTTTTTTTAAAGCAGCCCAGACCAACTCAATCGGGTTAAAAATGCAGTAATAGGGAGGTAGACGTAATACTTCATGGCCATTTTGCTGAAGCAGATTGTCAACAACATACTCTTTTTTAAATTTTTGTCTTTTAATAAGATCCAATAATATGGCTTTGGTTGATTTTTGTGGTATTTCCATTCCCTTATCCTTCATAAAATCAATAATGTCTTGTTTTTTTGTGCCTGTATTCAGAATTTTGTTTTTCTGTCGGGAGTGGTATGGCGCATTGTCCATAATAATCACTGAATTTGGGGAAATGTTTGGTATTCACTGCTGCTCTATCCACTTTTCAAATAAGTCGGAGGTCATGTCCTCATGATAGTCGGCACATGATTCTTTGATATTTTTGGCAGATAACAGCAAGGCATTAGGTATAAATCC